ATCAGTGTTAGCACCTCTGCAAGCAGCAGAAGTGAATGTTGTGAGCATCGGTCTGTCCTGAGAGGCCAAACTCAGCTACACCTGCCCGAGACACTGACCTAAGGGACACAAAACCCGCAAGAGACTCATATCGCATTAGTGAGGTGTTTATACACAAACCTACTGCTCAGCGAGTCGATATTCCTCAGTGGAACGTTCTGGAACAAACCATGAACACCGTCAAGATGAGCAGCATTACAGCTGTCAGGAAACATCCGTCAATGAAAAGAAAAACTGGAAGCATTAGTGCATGATATCATTTACATATATATATATAAAATTATACCCTTTAGCCTTACAATATTATATAAATTATGTATGCATTAGCTCTTGCATATTTTACTTTGCAAAAAGGTGACATTTTTAATTAGAGCCTTTACCAAACAGCTGTTGTAGCCAAACATGCTCAAAATATCAAGACAAACAATTTTGAATATTGTATTATTTTGAATTAATTTAATTTGTATTTTTTCTGTTTTAATTTTAATTAAAGTTTTTGTATTTTTTTAGCGTTTTTGTCATTTGTATTACCATTTATTTTTAAGTGTCCAAATAGTTTTAATTACCTTTTAGTTTACTTCAAAATGAGGAATTCTGCCTTGGCAAAAGCTGAAATAAAATATTTTATTTTTAAGTCATTTTTATGGTTTCAGTTTTACTTAACGATAAAACCCCTGACAAAATGGAAGAATCATAGTTAATCTAAATGCATCAAAGTATTAATAAACTATAACATTTACTTTCTAAAACATTTTAAAATATTTAAAAATGTCAGAGCGATACTGCAAACAGAGTGATGCTGCAAATAAATAGCTGAATCAGTGTTTTTAATCCAATTCACTGAAATTGACAGTTTCACAAGAATGAATCAACCTTCCATGCCATAAACTACTGGCATTGTTGATACTGAGATTTTAATTAAAGACACTTAAAGATAGTGGTGGGTGATATGGCAAAAATATCATATCACGGTTATTTTTCAGGAAAATCGTGATTCACGATATCACGATTCTTTGTCACGTTGGTTTTATTACTTTGCCAGCTGTCTGAGCAGTACAGCCAAACTAATTTCCCTATTTTAAAAACAGAGCCTTACAAAGTAACAAAATATAAAAGAAAAGAGAAAAGAATGGCAGACATTTTGGCCAAAGCAGGTGAAGATAAAAAAAAATCTGTCATTATGTTATCTTTGCTATCAAAAATAAGAACAAAGATACACGTTACAAATACACATAATATACAAATAAAACTAGCATTGCTTTATTTTTCAGGAACAGTTGGTGTATTTAGCAGTAGCATTCAAGAAATTGAATAAACATAAATAAAACACTATATATACACTTCACTGTATAAATTATACATTGATTCTAATTAAAGCAGCTGTATTAAAAGCTCTTCAGTCAAGAGCAGTGAGTGATTTTTCTTTGTTTTATTAACATTAAAGGCATAGTTCACCCAAAAATGAACATTCTGTCATGATTAACTCTAAAACTGTTTTAATCCTGAATGAGTTTCTTTCAGGTGTTGAATATAAAAGTTATTTTGAAGAATGTGGGTAACCAAACAGTTGCTTGTCTCCAGTGACATCCATGGTATTTTTTCCCTACTATCAAAGTCAATGGGGAGTGGGGACCAGCAACTGTTTGATTACCCAGATTCTTCAAAATATATTCTTTTACGTTTAGCACAAGAAAGAAATTAATACAGGTTTGGCACAACATGAAAGTGAGTAAATAAAGACAGATTTTTCATTTTTGGGTGAACTATCCTTTGACAAGAGGCAGCATGTTTAGTACAATTAATCTGCTGTCGCTTTAAGATCTGCACGCATCTAATATAAATGCATGCATCCGTTTTTTTCTCAACTGTTTACTTTTACTTTAGACATAACCAACTGTGTTTATATGTAAACCTTGAGTGTTTTTGACAGTATTAGCGCAATCAGACACGAAAGATAACTTAGGCTACATTCACACTAGTGCATTTTCATTTTAAAACGCATAACTTTTGCTATGGTTACACCTGTCGTTTACACTACTCCGGCGTTTTTGACCCTTGAAAACAGAGATTTTCGAAACCGCCGCGGACCCTGTTTTAGTTTGAAAACGCCTGGGGTTTCGTTTCAGTATAAATGGACCAAAATGGAGACTTTTGAAAACGATGGCGTGGCTGCCAACATTCGCTCTGCATATCCTTGACGACCGTGTAAACAATATCCATCATTCTCATTGTTGTACCTGCATGAATGGTCATGTGACATGCGTTTTCGGTTGTGCAGCGTGGACGGAGAACGTTTCTGAAAAGCAGTGAAAACGCAAGTGTAGACGAGGATTGTTTTCACTTTAAAACACCGTTTTAAAACAAAAACGCACTAGTGTAAACAGGGCCTTAGTCCAGGAATCAGGCACTGTTTGACAGGCTTTTTAGTGTGCGCGCGCTTCAGGTGTATGCGTTCAGAAAAGGCGCATGTCAGAACAGCACGCGAATTAAATGTTTAACCGGCAAGGCTTTAAAGCACATGCAAATAATGTACTTTTGTAATTGTGAATAAGTGCAGTGTCCCATGGGTCTAACTCTACCACTAAGTTAACATTTGGCGTTGTACAGTATATTGAGACGGAGGCGCCAGAAAGGCAACTGATAGAATGTGTGCTGTAGCACGATACTATGATATTTCTGCAGAAGCAAATCAAGGACTGGTCGTGAAAGTGGGCTCTTTTGGCAAAAGTGCATTAAAATCATCACAATACTCTAAGTACTCAAGGGTGGTAAGCTTTTTAAATGTTTTTAATTAAGTCTCTTCTGCTCACCAAAGCTGAATTTATTTGTCCAAAAATACAGTAAAAACAGAAATATTGTGAAATACTATTACAATTTAAAATAGGGCTGTTTAATTAATCGCATGCGATTGTCATGCGCATCTCGTCAGTAAAGTCGATTAATTGCACAGCCCTAATTTAAAATAACTTTTCTATTTGAATTGATTTTAAAATGTAATTTATTCCTGTGATGCAAAGCTGAATTTTTTTTCCAAATAAATAATGTCTGGATAATCAACTTGATAAAAGTCAGCAATGATTTCACAGCAAAAAGACACGTGAAGCACGAGCAGAAGATGGACGTTTGTACAATTAAACTAAAAGCCTTTTACTTGCTAAAAAACGTCTAAACTATCAATCAGACAACAGAAGGCATGTAGTAGATTGAGTGCAACAGGTTTAACAACAAAGTTTTGATCATGGTGATCATTTAGAGGCCTTTGAAATTGGAGTATAAAATACAATACAGTAGAGTGGACTTTACAGTTTGAATGTAAAATGGTATGGCGCTTTGGTGGTAATTAAAGAAGAGCTCTGCTTCTACCAGACAGAAACCCACGTGTTCACACAGAGTGATGGTTTACAGTTTCCTCGCATCAGTGTCAAGAGTTTCACTATAACACACCTGGTGTGTCTGGGACTCTATGGAAACACAGTGATGTATATGTTCATATATTCCAACATAATGATGGAATATCAGTTTCCCATCAGAACGTAGGCTTGTTTGGAGTAGCATGGTACCATCTTATATATTCTGCATAAAATATCCCACTACATCTGCCAAAATGTGCAGTATGCAATCATGACGTACTGCATGAGATACTGTATCATACCATACAAATCGCTCAACTTGACCATACATTTCCATGTGACGAAACAGCTGATAAAAACCTCACAATAATCCACAAGCAATCCACACCACTCCAGTCCAGTCCATCAACTAACATCTTTTGAAGCCAAAAGCTGTGTTTGTAAGAAATAAATCCAGTGTTTTTTTTTTTTGCATTTAAATGGCGCTTGATCTGTGCATATTTCTCTACTGATTCAGACAAGGCGACTTTTGCACTGTGTTATTATGGACTCGTATTTTGGTCAGAAGCAACACTTTAAAATCAAAATGCCTTAATGATGGATTTGTTTCTTACAAACATGCAGCTTTTGGTTTCACACGATGTTAATTGATGGACTGGAATCATATTAATTACTTGTAGATTATTGCGACGTTTTTATCAGCTGTTTGGACTCTCATTCTGACGGCATTCATTCACTGCAGAGGATCCATTGGTGAGCAAGTGATGTAATGCTACATTTCTCCAAATCTGTTCCCATGAAGAAACAAATTCATCTACATCTTGGATGGCCTGAGGGTGAGCAAATTGTCTTTTCTTTTTCTTTTTTTTTGGATGAACTATTTGTTTAATTAAAAAGTTGATTAAAAAGAACAATCTTACCACAATGAACAACTTATGGTTGCTTACTCATACTATTTGCAAAAAAAAAAGTATGCATCTCGACTACACATATGTGGATTCGAGGGAACGAATTGGAGGTTCAGACACTATACAGTGTGCAGTATGCACACACACAGCCCAGCTGAAGAGACCTTGGTGGGCGTGGCTTGAGTGTTGTGGCGTAACTGATGTTGAATGTTTAAGGTCCCTTCCTGATATGTGTAACCCTTTGAAGGAACAGTGATGCTTCAAAACACACTTCACACTCGACTTCCTCAATCAGAGAAGTCTTAGCGCGTCGCGAGCGAGCTGCGAAACTGACCAGAGCTTCATGGTTGCATGTAGGAAATGTGAATTTAAACGTCTTCGAGTTTAATAAACATCCAGGTTCAAGCATAAACATATTTACCAACACCCTGGTGCTTCACTGAAGTACTGACAGCACAATGAGAACATCAAGCACTTACAAACTTCTTCTTTCCGTCTCCTTCGTCGTAGTTCTTCTTGCTTTTCTTCTCCTTGTCTTTCCCACTTTTGGGAGCACCAGCAGATGCTGAGTTTGGATCCATTTTTGTGCTGTAAAATCACTTATATTCCTCAGATGTGGATCCTCACACGCCCGCTGAGGGCGTCTTTACCCGCGGCCTGGTGGTGCTGCTGCGCCGCCGGCCTGTGTTCGTCCTCCGGCACAAAGGAAAAGGAGGGAAGTTTGAACCCTGAGGCCCGGTTTCACGGACGTGTGCTGGTTTCGGACCTTTCGAGACTCGATACGCGCCCGCGCTGATCTCCGCGCACAAGTTTCTGCGCGAATTTGTCTCGATGGCGAATAAACAAACGTCGCGTTAAGTCTCTAAACCTATCGATCTACGCTGTCAATCTATAGAGCTGTCATGAATTCCTTTGATCACTGATTTAAAGTCCTGACGCTTCATGGTAAAGTCATCAGATCGTCTGAACAGCCATGAGGACACCAGCTGAAGTTTTCCGCTTTCTCTCTTTCTCTCTTCCTGTGTGTGTGTGTGTGTGTGTGTGTTGGGCAGGTCAGATGGGCGGAGCCAACATGCGCGGAGACACACACCTGAGTATATCACACACAGGTAGACAAGTACTGACCCCTGCTGACCCCTCACGTGTCAGTCATCTAAAATATGAATTCAGATTGGCTATAACAACGTTAAAGATTGTCATACATTGTGATACACACAGCCATCCTCATAATGGAATATGCAGATCTTAAAACTGGCTTGCCAATAAGGTTTTCACATCTTTATAAATAGTACAACGTTGATTTAAAGTTTATAAGATTATTATTATTAAGTAGGCTAATGAATGCTTTTAATCAGCAATATTTTGATAAGAAATTAAGACATTTAGCCTATGTTACAAAAGATTTATATTTCCATCAAATGCTATTCTTTTGAACTTTCTATTCATCAAAGAATCCTGAAAAAAATATGAATGTTTTAACACTGATAATCAGAAATGAGAATGTTAGAATGATTTCTGAAGGATCGGGTGACACTGAAGACTGGAGTAATGATGCTGAACATTCAGTTTTGATCACAGGAATAAATTACATTTTAAAATATATTTACATAGAAAACAGAAATTAATTAATTAAAAACATTGTTTTTTCTGTTTATTTTTCTTTCTCCTGTCATATGCAGCAATGTCATTTTCTACCACATGTTCTAATCTTTAAAAAAAAAAAGGAAACTATATTTCTTTCTTGCTAACCTTTATTTTATTTCTAAGAGAAGCGCGCCACCTGCTGGTAAGACTGCGTGTTGGTGTGCATCACAGCACATTCATGTGGTTTAAAAAACAGAGAAAACTTAATTTAGACTTGCCTTCTTGTTTCTTATTTGTCCCATTAACAGGTAAAGCAGAACGGATCCTGATGAATTCAGGCTGGTTGAGGCACATTAAGAGCAGTTTCATTTTGCTCATCTTTCCAATATCATTAACTTTAATGCCAGACTTCAGGAACGCCGGAGAAACGCTGCTTACAGTTGACTAACTTAGTGTTCTTCAGTGGTGTGTGTAATTAACAGGCCTCGAACGGTTGAGTGTGTGTCATACAGAGACAAAAAAGAAAAGAAAAGCTCTTTGCAGAAAGTCTGTGCATCCATTTCTCTCTTAAAGGGAATGCACAATATGTCAATGTGATCTTCTGGATTTTTTTTTTTTTGATTCTGTCTCAGTTGAGGTGTACCTACGATGAAAATTACAGATCTCTCCATTCTTTGTAAGTGGGAAAACTTGAAAAATCAGCAGTGTATCAAATACTTATTTGCCCCACTGTATATGATTTGTAATGTTAGAACATATAAATGCAGCCTTTGTGAGCAGAAGAGACTTCAAAACTTTTGAACAGTAGTGTATGTTGTAAGGTAATAATCAGTTGAACTTATATTTAATTGCATATATTTTTATATATATATATATATATAAACATAAAAATATTGATTTAATTTACCAAAATTATTTAAAAAATGGGGGGGGGGGGGGTTTAAAAAACTTTTTGTTTTTTGATTCATGGTAAATATGAACAAACCTTTAAATCTACTGAATGCTTGTTTAATTCAAATCTGTAACCTCATTAATGGTATCCTGTAACCCATTCTTAATTTATGTTCATTTTATGTTTATTGCTAGAAAAAAAACTGCAACTATAAACCAGGTAGCAGGGTTAAAATTGCATATCAAATAAATAACACAGCTAATATGATATTTAGTGTGAGCTGCTGCAGAGAATGAACATTTTCTGAAAGTTAAGCGCTTCCTCTCAGCTGCCCTTTAAAAACCCTTTCTAAGAGTTACAGACCCTTTTCCTTTATAGTTGAAAGTTCCCTTCAAGTCTTCTGGGGACATTTTCAGCAAAGTTGTCCTCAAAAGTGTTGCTAGGTCAGAAACTCTCTCTCTCTCTCTCTCTCTCACACACACACACACACACCGCCTCAAACCGATCAAAATCTGTGGTTATTTGAGGACTGTATCTTATTATACCTCAAAACAGTTGGATATTTCAGTCATGGCCATTGGTTTCTCTCAGTCTCTGTGAGCTGCTCGGAAAGGCTCTTGAGGAAAGAGACACATCCATTTGTCTTGGTTTCATATTATAGGCCTCTGTGTCTCTTTCTTATTGAGTCGCACCTGATTCTCGGTGTCTGTCATCGCGGCTTTGGCACATCGGATGCGGATTAAGACAGATATCAGATTGATTTATATCTCCACTGGCGTCGGCGTCTTATGTAACTTCGGGAGAATAAAATAACTGTCAGACAAACATCGATAGATGATTCGGGCTCAGCTGTGCGGAAGCCAGACTAACTACTGCTGGACTCATTTAGCTGTTGCTTTCATACAAAGTGTCTCACAGGAAACAATAATGACATTTCAGAGGGTTTGAACCTTAAACCTTTAGCTCAGATCTTTAAAGTTCAGCACCAAATCTTTAAATTCAGCACCAAAATTCATAAACCCTGTCATCATTTACTCATCCAAATGACTGACTTACTTCAAAGGAAACATGCTCAAACCACTTATTGTTAACTTTGCAAGACTATTGAAAATCTTAGTTAATATACAATAAAATAAATAAAGCTGGACTTAAATAAAAAGAAGAAATATTAAAAAACTAATAAAAATGACAAAAGTACATAAATTACTAAAACGTAAACTAAAATTAAAAATCTAAAATCTAAAAATAAAACCTATTCAAACGATGAATAAATACTATAATTAAATAATAATAACAACAATAAATAATGTAATAAAAAATGACAACAAAAATATAACTAAAATTACAGTAAAAACTGAAAATCTAAAAATAAAGGCTTATTGAAACTATTAATAAATACTTTATTTAAAACTTTACTTAAATTTAAAGATAAAAAAGACAGAAAAATGACAACAAAATTATTATTATAACTTAAATTTAATGTTTATAATGTTATAAATTAAATGCTATAATAGTATATAAATACTACTAAAATAATGAAGATTAGAAATATTGCCTTGGCAACTAACTAAAAAAATATGCTGAGGGATGATCTTATAGAACAGCATGAGCACGTTTGCTTCTTCTCATCACAACCTCATCCTATCAACCGGAATAAAATGTCAGTTCATTTTCCAGACACAGACACTCATGAATGTGAGATTTAATCATGGTTTAACATCATACAAGAAAATAATCTCTTACATAACGCACACGACTTGTGATAAACCGTAGATGGACATAAAAGGCCGTGCAGAAGTGGAAAACAGTCATTATATACAGACAGATCGATCACACAGGTGACTTCGGCTTCAATCCGCCACTGATTCTGTTATCCAAACCGGTCTGCATCCATTGTGGGGCTCGAATGGGTCATTTGTAGGAGCTGCGGGCCTCTCGCAGTGAGCGGTCGTAAGGCATGGAGGCGAAGAAAGAGTTCCTCAGCTGACAGTTGATGAAGAACACAATGAGGAGGACCAGCAGGAAGAGCAACAGGCACATCACCACATATGTGGCCAGGTCTGGTTTGTCGGGCTCGCCCTCTCGTAAGGTGCTCACACGGCCCGTAGGCTTCAGGAGGACCGACACGCTCACGGGCCCGTGAGACAGCGGCGCTGGCGTGTGCGTGTTGTTCATCAGGTCGAAGTCTCGTGCTGCCACCGTGGAATTCAACAGCATCTGCCTCAGCATGATGAATCTAGACTGAAACAGATACTTTTGGTATAATTTGGTATACTTTGCTATATTGCAGCTGTTCCATACTGGTTAGTTTCCTCTAACAGTCATAACTTTGACTTTTGACTATTAACATTAAGTCATGTGTAAGTGAGTACACTGGTCCACTTAAACTGGTATACATATACATAAATACGTAGTGTGTACCTGGTATTCCCAACGGTATGGGGTCCAAATGTGCGTGTGCATTTTTATATGGGTGATGTTCGACTGGACCGATTCTGATCGTAATGTCCCAGTCCAGCCCAGTCTTTGTCTGCACAGTCGACTTTCATAAAAATAAACCTAACAGGCTTTAAACTGGAATGAAAGCTTTGACAACTAACCCCGTTCTCCTCTACATGTAACTTGATGAATGTAAATACAAGATTGCACGCATGAGTTCTGCAATTAAAACATTGGAATTCTCTAAAGCTACATACACTCTCAGAAAAAAAAGGTACAAAAGCTGTCACTGGGTCAGTAGGACTCTTTAGGTACCTTTTGAAATGGTACCGCCCCAGAGACAGCTTTTGTACTTTTTTTTCTGAGAGTGTAAGATGCGCGCTCTGTTGCGCGTTATTTAAGAGGTTTCAGGGTTTCGCTTACCGTCTGTACGCCGCGGACAGCAGGGCGAGAAGGACGCGGCGCGTCGTTGCGTTCGCATTCCACGAACACTCAAAGACCACCACACCTCAGACAAGAGCTCTGATCATCAGCACTGCATCCACAAGTGACTCAATCAGTCTATCCATGTCCCACTGTGTGCTTTTCCATAGATGCATGCGCTAGCGGAGAGAGAAGACCTCTCCAATCACACCGACGAATCCAAATGTCTCTAAATAAACGCGCAGTGAAGGTCAATAACAGCGCAAGACGGGTCTCAGTATCCTCGCACACACAGAATCACTCCTTTCCGACAGGTTTCCATGCTTTGGACCTGCGCCCGTCTAATCAACATCCCGTCGCATGCAGGGAAAGTGGCTCTCCACATGCGTATCCGTCATCCACGACCCCCTGTCACTGGGGTCGAGCGATCCGGTTCGGCTGGAGAGGAAGAGTATTTACGAACAAATAAAAGAAACATAGAAACGAAAGATACACGAGCGATTCTCTGTGCGCAATGGAGATGGAGACGCGCGAATGTCTTTCACTCCTCAGATAGAGTCTTCAGTTTGAGACCAAGTGAGTGGAAGAGTTTCAGGAGGGTGCGGAATGTCTCAGAGAGGTTTTACCGGGAGAGAGAGAGAGAAACATGCAGCCTATCAGGTGAACCAGCCATTTAAAGAGACC